CCCCCGGACACCACCGGACGCCACAGGACGCCACTGGACACCACAGGACAACACAGGACACCACTGGACAACACCGGACATTTACCTGCAGCTGACCACACGGTTGTCGGGCTGTTTGAGCGGGAACATCAGCTGCTCCATGTTTGGTCCGTTCAAACAAACCTGACTTCCCTCGCAGGTCAAAGAAACCAGCACCAGTCGAGGCTGCTGTCGGCCTGTGACCATGTGACCGTCGTCCATCGTCACCATCCAGTGTCTGCCAACGAACCACAACACACACACATTCAAACCTGAACTCAGTTACAGGAACGACTGTCGGGGAAAAAAAACTCGTTAGGATTGATGACGTCACATATTACCATGGATACTGGCCTCGTTTATAGAAATAGAAAACTAGCATTAGACATTATTTTTAACACAGAACTTCAGAGCTGATCTGGGAACGATTACAGAGAGACATGTTGGAACAGAAACTTGTCGTTTGTTATCAAACCTGCACGTTATTATTTTGTTGTTTTGTGTTTAATTGTAATTGAGTCCGTTTTTTTTACTTTATATTAAATGTTATCTATATTGTTAATAGAAGTGTCTTCGTTTTTAAAGTGTCTTTTCTTATCTACGTCTAAATATAAATATAAGTGTCTTTTCTTATCTACGTCTAAATCATTTTTTATTTCTCTCTAGTCCATGACTGAGACTCGAGATGTCCAAACCAAACCAGCAGGTTGACAAATGCTGTCAACTTCCCCGTGGCTCTGTGTTAAAGAAGCACTGTAGTCTCCTCACCCTCACCCTGACCCCTGACCCTCACCCTTGACCCTCAGCCCTGACCCTCACCTGTCCTGAAGTTCTCCAAACTTCAGCCCCTTCTTCTGACACTCAGCCAGAGCCACACTCACGGCTCTGCCTGATTTCAGAGGATGAACGAGCAGCTGCGACACGACGCCCACTCGAACCAACGTTTCTGGCTTCTGCCGCAGGTATTTATATCCAAGCCCGAGTCCCACGGCGGCCACGCCGACTCCAGCGAGCAGGAGAGCTTTTCTATTCTGTGCAAAGGCGTTGTAGAGCTGCGCCTTTACCTCCATGTCCGAAGAAGAATTCCAAGAAGCAGAAGAAGAACCACAAGTGCACGGACTGTAGACGACTCACTCCGGAGCTAAAGCACAGCAGCTGTAACCTGGAGGTACAAAGTTCAAGCTCAAGTCAACTTTTCGGAGTTCCACTTCTTCTCTCTCTTCCATTCCTTCTTCTGTTCGCTCATTTTTGCTTCTTCATTTGTTTCAGCTTTACCTCAAAAAGTCATTTGCTGCCATCTACTGTTTAAAATGGACCCTAACCCAGTGACCAGCCTTGACTGGGGTTCCGGTTGAGTCATAACCACAAATCTAAACAACAACAAAAAAGAGATTTAATCATCATCGTCGTCATCATCTAAAGTTCATTATTTCATTAAGATTTAAATCATTCTTATGTTTAATTCATGACCATTAAGATGACAGACAACAGTTCATTTTTTCATTAAGCTTGAAATCATTCTTATGTTTTATTCATGACCATTAAGATGACAGACAACATCTTCATCAGCAGCGTATATACATATACACACACATATATACACACATATATACATATGGTTTTTCTGGTTATAAGCCATACATGTTTCTTTAATTTGTGTTTGATTAAAAAAGCAGCAGGAGGGTCCAGCAGTGACAGTGGAGCGATTTGTTAAAACTCTCTAAATCCCTGACGTTCTTGTTAAAACGACAGGTAAGTAAGTAACCAATCTTACCGTTAGAGGTCACTATTTCTTAGCCATGAGACCAAAGAATCTAAATCAGCTAAATGTGATCACAAAAGAGGTAAGAGTAAAGGTGGAGGTGTCGTCACACTGTGGTCCAGCCCAGGTTTACACCTGACCACTGTCCCCCTAGTGGTCGCTGACGTCAGTGACACCTCCACGTTCAGCCTTCATCCCTGACACAGGAGAGAGCAGGTGATGTCATGTCTGAGCTGACCTTCTGAGTGGAACTATTTTTGCCTTCGACACAGATACTCAGGTCTGTGGCCAAAGTAGAAAACAGCAGATGCTCCAGCCACAGGGGGGCAATACAGGGATTTGTGGAGTGGATACTCCTTCTGTTGCTTTTCTCTGCACATCTAATGGCTGAAGGCAGACTGGCAGGAACAACGCCAGGTCCTTCAAGCTGCTCTGATGTGGTGGTCAAGAGGAAAGGAGATATTCAGTCCAATCTATGAGCATTGTCCAAAACAATTAGCCGATTTTTTTTAAATTAAAAAAACGTATAATCACCTGTGGGTGGGATTCTCCTTTAACCTGGAAACAAGAAAACGTTGACCTGGTTTAGTTACACGGTGACTAACTGAGACTGGGTGTTCACCAGTAAAAAGAAATACTTCTGAAATAATGGCTGAATGAAATAATCATAAAAACAAAATTCCACGAAAACCTGAAACTAAAAGTGTGTCTTCATATAATGGTAGAACTGCTCATGTGAGTCCAAACAACAGGCAGAATAATAACGTCATTAAAATTCATCCAAACTAATGCACTGTAGATTTAATTTAATTAGATTTTTTTTCAAGGAAGGAAAGGAAAAAACGACATCACGTCAACAAGGACCAAATGAATTGTGACAAAAGTCAAGGAAGGAAAGGAAAAAATGACATCACGTCAACAAGGACCAAATGAAATCTGCTCTCCTTTTTCATCAGATCCGTCACTGATAATGATTCATTTATGATAAATGTGAACGCACCAGAGATCACATTTAAAAAGACCGGATTTAATTGGATTTAATTAAAGTCTTTCCAGACCAGCTCAGCTGAACACACACCTCTGACAGACTGATAACGGCGGCCACAACACACACACACACACACACACACACACACACACACCCCCCCCCGTCGCTGCTGCACCACCTGACGATGGCTGCGGACAAAGACATTTACATCCTGCCCCAGGCTGGGACATAAAGATCAGGCGACCGTTGGTCTGCTGCTGACTAACCTGCTCTATGATGACCGGAACTGGACTTCAGTCAGGATTCCCAAGGTGGCGCCATCTGGGCCAAGTGGTCATTTCCTATACATTCAAGCAGGATTTTACCAAAGCAGAAAAGGAGGAGATTAAAAAAACAAAACCGTACAGTAAATGTCCACACAGTATAGGGATTGGTTGGAAGTTTCTGTCTTGAATTATTACGAAGCTAATCAGCTAACAGCTGTCGTTGTAAAACGGTAAAACTCTGAAGTTGTCACTAAAGGAGATTTAATAACTGTATATTCAGGTTGGATGAATTTCAGCTCATGAATGATCTGTTTTCCTCTAAATAGGATCTTAACTTGTATTTTTGACACTGAGTGTTTTGGAAGAAAACATTGACCCTCGTGGTCGAGGCAGTTAGCAAATGTTTGTTGTTCCTGAAAAAAGGAGACTTTGTCGCTATTCCATATAGACTTATGTTAATATGGAAATCTGTTGCACAACCAGTCGAACCAGTGGATATTTTTGAAACCAGATGTTTCAGAGCTGCTCTCCAAACTCACTGACACTCACTCTTGTTTTCGACCTTTATTATAAATTCACTTTTCTTGTTCTTCTTTTCCGTCCGGTGTTTCACCGTCTCTCCCCTCCTCCCCCAACTTTCCCAAGTTCTCTTCAACAACACAAGGAAGGATGGGATTAAAATCTTTATTTTCCAAGTACGACACAAAAAGTCCGGTCCTACTTGAATAAACGTGGTCCAGCACCTGCATGAGCGTACAGAGGGTTCATGTTGACACAAGGGAATCGAGAGAAGAAACAAAAATATGGCTTTTCTTTCTTCGTCATGTTCAATATTCAATAGAAATATAAAACAAAATGCCCTGGAGTTAAATCATCGGGAGAACAATAACAGAAATGATTCTCATTTCAAATGTTCTCTCTGCATGAAGCAAAATATAAAATACAGTTTGAGTATTTAAAGTGGTTTTCTTTTCTCTCTCCTACTCCCTGCGGTGCATTTCCCAGAATGCAGTTTAACACTGAGATGTGAAAATACAGCAAGATATTTTCTAAACCTGACGTTTGTTTCTCTTGAAATCCAGGAATTAAAAACCTCAACCATATTTGACTGAGGTTTTAATGAACATAATACAAAAAATACATAATTTAATCCATACAATTCATAGATTGTTTTAGATCCAGGTAGAGACTGAACCTGGAGAAATACAGTGACATATTTTAAACCTTAAATATATACAACCTCAATGTTTTTATTGCTTTTTATTTTCTATTCATATATATATATATACTCTAATATTTCTAATTAAGAGTGTCCATCACTTTGGTCAAGTGTTGTTTTGAATGTGATTACAGTAAAACTGGAGGTGAATGCTCCAAGCGTGTTCTCATGTACGGCGCTCTCACCGTTATCTCCTGGTCTCTGTTTGAAATAAATAGTCAAATGTGAAATGTTGTAGCAGCCAGAAATAAAGTGAACATGACATTCGCCTCATGTCGCCCACAGAAGGAAATTAAAAAACAATATACAAGCGAACACTCGGAAAAGCAAGCGCGTGAGGGTGGATTTGAAAGTTTTCCATCAATCACACAGTTGTCTGCCACTGACAGCCAGCTCATTATCCATTGTCCAAACACAGAAACCCCCCTCCCATCTGCCACTGCAGCCTGACACTAAAAATACTCTCTGTCTCCTGTTTGGCCCAGATGTGGTTGTGTTTAGTCGAGGATGAGTGTGTGGAGCCGCACACACACACACACACACACACGCTCCAGACTGTGTGCTTCTGTGGTGCTGTGTTTGATTGGACCGACCATCTCCGAGCCTCTGCTCACTGCACTCTATTAAAGCGCGGCGGGAAACGGAACTGGGAGGAGAGATTCCAGTGGAGCGTTTGGAAGGAAAGCCTTTTTTTGACATTTGGCTGCTCCCACCTCAATGGGAGGCCGTGGAGGATTATCTGCACGTATGATTTGGCACCGAGTTTACGCCGGATGCTATTCCTGACGCACAGCAACCCATTTATACGGGCCTGGGTCCAGCACTGTAGGGTACACACTGAGAGGGGTCCATGAGGAGACACTTGGGGTTAAATGTCCTGTAGAGGGACACATTGGCATGCAACAAATCACCAGTCCTAGTTCGAGGACGCTCCGCTCCGACCAACCAATCAAATCTACCGCCGGTATCGAACACACGAGCAGAGACGACCTCGTAAACATGCAACCTCCACCTTTCTGCCACCGCTTCGGTTTAGAATCTTTACAAGCGTGATTAAAGGCCAGACAGGAAGTTGATTTGGATACCAACACCAGTATCAGGTCCAATATGGTCTTACTGTTTATTACCACACAACATGCCACTGCAGTGAACGACGTCTCACTACAACCACCTACACACCTACTGCAGCTCAGCGAATCAAGTAACGTAGTACTGTATGTTGGAGTAGTTTGTCAACAATGTCAGCAGTTTGGGGGGATTTTATCATCAGGAGCAAAACGTCCTGTAAGATTTACTCTGTCAAGATACGAGCAGTTTAACGAAACACGGAAAACAGGAGACGGTGTTTTCAACTGTTGGTGCCAAAGCTTTGCTCACTCTCTGGTCAACTGGCTGTGTCCCACGGTGTAGCGGTTATCACGCCTGCCTTACACATCTGCCTTAGACACAGAAGGGCCGCGTGGATCGCAAAGACTCGCACATCGTGGCACAAATAAAAGGACTAACGTTTGTTTATCATTTAAACCGACGACAGTGTTGAAGTTCAGCAGCCGTAGAGACGTCGCCTTCACTGATTCTGAGCTACAACGTTCAGTAAAATCCACCTTCACTGCAGCCGAGCTGCTGCTGCTGCTGTTACTGCTGCTGCTGCTGGTGTTGCCGTGGTTGCTGGCTCGGCGGGGGGGGTTGGCGGGGGCGCCGGGGCCTCGTTCTCCCCCCTCCCCCTCCTCCTCTTCCTCCTGCTGTTGCTGCTGCTGCTGCTGCTGATGTTACTGCTGCTGTTACTGCTGCTGCTGCTGCTGTTACTGCTGCTGCTGCTGCTGTTACTGCTGCTGCTGCTGTTACTGCTGGTGCTGTTACTGCTGCTGCTGCTGCTGCTGCTGTTACTGCTGCTGCTGCTGCTGCTGCTGAGAGTCTCTACTTGTTGACGACCGCCCTTCATTACTAATGCGCTCACTCATGTTGGACTTTTATCATTAAAAAAAAACTCTCTACTTGTTGACGACTGCACTTCATTACTAACGCGCTCAC